TTTCGACCTCAGCGGTCTCGATTCTCGGTTTTCGACCTCAGCGGTCTCGATTCTCGATTTTCGACCTCAACGGTCTCGACTCTCAGTTTTTGACCTCCTACGGTCTCGACTCTCGGTTTTCGACCTCAGTAGTCCCGACTCTCGGTTTTCGACCTCAACGGTCTCGACTCTCGGTTTTCGACCTCCTACGGTCTCGACTCTTGGTTTTCGACCTCAGTGGTCCCGACTCTCGGTTTTCGACCTCAACGGTCTCGACTCTCAGTTTTCGACCTCAGCGGTCTCGATTCTCGGTTTTCGACCTCAGCGGTCTCGATTCTCGGTTTTCGACCTCTACGGTCTCGATTCTCAGTTTTTGACCTCTACGGTCTCGATTCTCGGTTTTCGACCTCCACGGTCTCGACTCTCGGTTTTTGACCTCCTACGGTCTCGACTCTCGGTTTTCGACCTCAGCGATCTCGATTCTCGGTTTTTGACTTTAGCGGTCTCGATTCTCGGTTTTCGACCTCTACGGTCTCGATTCTCAGTTTTCGACCTCCTACGGTCTCGACTCTCGGTTTTCGACCTCAGTGGTCCCGACTCTCGGTTTTCGACCTCAACGGTCTCGACTCTCGGTTTTCGACCTCAGCGGTCTCGATTCTCGATATTCGACCTCCACGGTCTCGATGCTCGGTTTTCGACCTCAGCGGTCTCGATTCTCGGTTTTCGACCTCAATGGTCTCTCGATTCTCGATTTTCGACCTTATTGGCAAATCTTTTGGTTCTCGACCCCGATATCAGATCATTCAGTTTTTGACCTCCATGGTTTTTTGGTTTTTGATCTTGAGATCTCAGAGCTCATTTGGAGGATATTTCAGTGGTTATTCAATGGTTATTCGACTTTCGATGCTCGATCTTAGTGGCAAGCTGAAGAAAACAACTCGAAGAGGCATTTCACTCTTGGATCGAGTTATGCTTACTCGACCAGAGTGGGGGGGACTAGATGATATAGGATATTATACTGGACCCGGTTAAATAGATAAAGCGGATACATTTTGGAAGATAAGCCCACTAAGACGTCCAAGCCCAACATTATGGGCCAAGCTCATCTTGAGCCCACAAAGGTACACTCCCCCTATAAAAGGGGGGTCAAGGTACCTCATTATTTTCCTCTCTTCATTCCATACTACACTTTATCTCTCTCTTGATCCGAGCACTGACTTAGGCATCGGAGGCCCGACGCCGGGGCCACCCGGCGTTGGGTTCTGCAGGTACGGAGGCCGGTTCGAGTTGAAGGAGCCCGGGTGAATCTTATTCACTTCATATACTGTTCTCAAAAATAGTTACCACAGTTACGTCCATCTTTAAACAATTCCATATTAGACACCATCCCTTTTCTAATGAAAGTCCACGCTCTTTTTTTCTTTCAACTTTGTTTCTTTTTCTTCTGTCAACTTTTCTTAGATTATTTTTAATTTATCTTAGGTTTATTATTTTATCTTATGTTTATTTTTAATTTATCTTAGGTTTATTATTTTATCCTTACAGTTTATCTTAATTCAGGTACAAAATAAAACTTAATATAAACTACAAATAATAATACAAAAATTATTATCCATACAATTTATCTTAAGTTTATTATCGGTTTTTAACTAATTTAAGAATAAGCAAATATACAATAAATTCATATACAAAAATAAAACTTAATATAAACTACAAATAAAAAAAAAAACATTAACCACAAAGTTTATCTTAAGTTTATCACTAATTTTTAACAAAATTAATAACAAGCAAATATACAATAAATTCATATACAAAATAAAACTTAATATAAACTACAGATAATAAGAAAAAAATCATTAACCATAGAGTTTATCTTAAGTTTTTTTTTTTAACATTATTTAACTAAATTAAGAGCAAACAGATATACAATAAACTCATATACAAAATAAAAACTGAACATAAACTACAAATAATAATAATAAAAAAAAATTCATTAACCATAATACATCAATAAACATCAAATTTACTAAAAACAAACCAAGCATAAATGAATATTCTTTCAACCGAGGTTACATCATATATGTGCACAATATATTAAATAAATATAATGTCGACGCAGAGATCCGAAAGGGTGGTACGCCCAAGCATCGCAATCTCGGCAAATCGTCGAGCACCATCCAAACCCGCAAAGAATTTGGTTATCTGGTCGGTTTGTGTATCAGGTTTTGAGCTGTTACCGTCGCCAATTTTCCACCATGAACTCATTGCCACCGAGATCTGACAGTAATTATCATTCATGGCAAAAAAATCAAAGTTGTTTCAAAAATAAAAAAAAAAAGAAGCAAAAATTAAAAAATTCAGCAACTTACAGATATGAGATTCAAATGTTGAGACCCCCAACCAAAAAGGCAAATCAAAATTAATGAAACCCTAAATCAGTAATTGGAGATTTTACTATACCTTTTCGTCGCCATCGGTTGTTGATCCCCAATTTCAAGTGGCCACCGCCATAATTCGTCAATTATTTTCAAGAGGCGAGGTGTGACTTCGAGAATCAGTAATTCAAAGAAGAATTGAGTTCAACTTTTTATTTCTGGTGGTCTGTATGTTTTGTGTGGGATCCGCGATCAACCAGAAGAAATAAGAAAAATAAACACGATGAGAAAGAAGAAAAAAAAGAGATAAGATGGAGAGAACGTTAAAAAGATAAGAGAGCCGTATTTGTAGAATATAAAAGACCTTAATTTCGTCTTAGTGGAATAAATGGTATCATTAAGGAATTAAAAACTTTTTTCTTGTCATTATGTCTATAACATAAATAAGAGTCGTTGAGGGGGTAATTATCTCAATAAATCATTCATAAATATTGAAAAATTTGTATATTTGCAACTAAAATAAAAAAATTCATAATAAAAAGGAAATTGTTGGTTGTGTAATTTTATTAAAAAAAAAAAGTTCAAAACAAAATTGTGCTAATTTT